CACTGAAATTTTTTTTCTGCCTAAAGTTACTCCAGATAATTGCATTAAAAATCACTGTCCAGTGTGGCTTATCGAGTTTTTGGCTTATCAAGTTCCCTACCACAGAGTAAATCATGTTTACTTTCCTGACGCTGCCCCTTCAAAGCTCTTCATTTCTTCCTAAATTCACCGCGCTCTCACACTCGCTAAGCAGCTGCTAAATGAAACTTGCTTTGATGCGTGTACCTCACTCTTCATTATTATCTGCATGCGCCTCTGCATTCCGTGATGCTGTAAGTTCTTCGTTTTGCTTTCTACATTTCCAGCACCTCTGTGAGCTCCATCTATGCAAATCATATGTAATATGTCCCTTTTACTCATTGGTGAACTGTCACTGTGCTAATTTGGATGACCCTTTTGGAGATGAGTAACTTGTAGATCAGAAAGTTTAGAGAAAGTCTGTCTTCCCAAAATCAACTCTTTTTTTTGTTTGTTTGTCTGTTTTGTTTTGTTTTTTTTTTTTGGTGACAGAGTCTCACTGTGGAGTTCACTCTGTCCTTGAACTTACTATGTAGTACAGGCTAGCTCAAACTCAGAGTGATCCTCCTGTCTCAGGTTCACAGTTGCTGGGATTACAGGAGTGCATCACCACACCCAGCCTCCTACAATGACTTTTTGAGAAACCAACTCTCAGGTAGTCCCAGTGACTTAGGATCAGAAGCTAGGCTTGAAGAAGGGAAAGGACGACCTTTGCAATTTACCAACCACCGTGGTTATAAATGACCCCTGGGAGACAGGGAGGGTCCTGTACCTGCAAAAGGAGCCATGGAGGATAACAATGGCAAGAGCCATATTGTCTCCTACCAGGTGAGGAACAAAATCGCCTAGGTGCAGTTTATTTCCTCCTGGTTTTGGACTGTGCTCAGCACACAAAGCCCTGACAAGGGAGTCAGGCTCTGTGACTTGCTCCCAATAGTCATTGGTGGGGGAACTTGAACAAGTCCATGGGGCCCCTTTCATGTCAATGTCCTCCTTCATAACTGATAAGGTTACAAGTTCCCTAAGGATCTCCTTGATCTGAAAGGTTCCAGATGCCCAGCTCGGGGTCATGAGTCAGTGTGCTTGCAGGCTCAAGGGCAGCCCAGGGAGGGAGAAGGCTGTTGCATGTATGAAGGAGACCTCATGGGTCTTTGGTGAGCCAGGTGGGAGACAGGTAGTTCAGGAGAAGAATTTCAAACCAGCCCAGCGCTGAAAGGCCACCTGACAGTATTTGATGATTAGCATCTCGTCAAATATTGGTATCACAGGCTTCCTGATTAAAAGGACCTTAGGATAGACAGTCCTGGTGTTGACGTACAACAAAGACCTGTCAGTGTCACCTATGTTTTCATGGCCCTCTTGCTTCTCTCAGGAAATGTCTTCAATGTGTCATCTTTTGGAACTTGCAGTTCTTGGCAGCTTTCATTTCCCCTGGAGAGCAAAACTGCTTCCTCAACAGGCAGCACCTGCCACTCCTCTACAGTGTTGGCTCCAGCCATTATTTCAGCCTGGCTCTGCCCTCATCTTCTGTCACCTAGTTCCACCCAGATAGGGCTAGTTCCAGAACTACAGCACAAGTAGGTTTGGGGGTTACTGAGCAGACCCAGATGTCCACTTTGCCTGCCTGCTATCCAAATGCTTCCCAGTGGAATCTGACCAGAAGTAGAGAAAACAGGTCTTCCTCACTTGAAGCGCTCACAGGGACACAGGACTTTCTTGCAGAGCCATGATAGCTCATCCTCATGCCATGATCCCACCAGCCTGATTCAGAGGACACCACCACCACACATTCCAAATCAGGTACACAGACTGCACCTTGCCTACCAACAAGGAAGCCAGGTTTTCTACAATAATCAGAGTGCAGCTGGGCCTCTGCCATCTGGACAACTTGGCCTCTGCATGAAACCCTCTGGCTGTGCATGCTATAGAGGGTAACAGAGGTTCTGCCCCTCAACCAGAAATAGTGGTTGTGCTAAAGGAGATTGGGCACACAAATGTCACAACACTGGTCTCTCCTTCTGCAATCTACTACTCAGGGACTGCTCCAGCCAGAACACAAAAAAGTTTCCACAGTGGGTACCTAGAGCAGGAAGTGAAAGGAGTCAG